ATAAAAGAACTTTCTTTTTTCTTTTTTCTCTCTCACTTAACTAGTCTAGCAACTTATCGACACATGAACAGCAAATATTTACCTAACGAGAACAAAGAGCATTGTTATTCTTCATCATCTCTTTTTCATTTTCTTTAGACAAACACTTGAAAAATACCTACAAGCAATTTAAACTACCAAAAAACAAAATACTGTTTACATTAATCTTTAATTTTCTGAATAATTCTTAAAGTACGTTACTTAATTACATTCTGTTTTGAATACCATGATAAGTACATGATAAATTTAAATTTTCAATAATTACTAAACTTAATAAACAACTTGTGTAGGTTGTATTAATTGTCAACATGTATACGACACTATAAATATGAATCCAACACACATAGTAAAATCTTTACATTATGAACATCTTTGGAACTGAAAGAAACCGTTCAGTATAACAGAATGTTAATAAAAGGATGGGAAATATAAATCAAAATATCAGTTTTATTACTTTCTATCTTCTCTTCAGTACATTTTATTAAATAGTTTTTGACTTTTAGTAATCAAAATTTTTTAATTAGACAGGGTAAACATCGAGTCGAGATCCTATCTAATCATGTTTAAACACTATCATTGATGATTTAACTAAAGTAATGATTCACCATTTTATTTAGATTAGTTTTATAATCAGTAATATATTCATTGTTTTTTTTAAGAATATTTTACAGAATACTGATGAACACTTGAAATTTCTCTTTTTACTCACGATGAGATGAATTATGTTCTTTGCCTTTGGTCAAATTCATTGTTTGCTCTAAATCAAGAGCATTGTGAAATATTATATCTTATAGACAAACTTTGAGAGATTATTCAAAAAGACAGGATTGTCTATTTGTCCATTGTTTTCTTTTTTCTCGCTTTCACTGATTTAAATTAACGAGCTAGTTTACTTTTTGTAGAACCTTCTCCACAGCTTCAATCATATAATTTATTCAAGTGATATCGTCTACTGATGTTCATATTGACAAAGTCAATATATACAGATAGATCCAAAATAATGTGTTTACATTCAGAGTCAAAGTGCGTTTACTTAAGTAAGGTTTTAATATATCTGTTAATAAACGAAACAGATCGAATTCAATTGAATTTATATTTGGTTCAATAGAAACTTCATATCTATTGAAGAAATAAGAAAATATCTTGTTTTGTGTTTGGTTTTTTTATCTTGATGAAATGCTAATTATTTCATTGAATATGTTGTTCGATTAGCATGGAAAATCGACAAGTTGATCACTATATTTTTCTAATGTTTGATTATATTCACTATATAATCTATTACTATAGTCGCTTGATTTTGACATTTCTGTGATTTGTTTTCAAAATTTGATAAAAAAAAAGTAATAATCGTCGGAAATGATTTTGAAATAACTGAGATTAGATTATCTCATTAGAAATTCTTATTGACGAGGATCTTCAAGATTTCAATTATATTTAGCTTTAAAATTTGATCAAAGATTCATCTTATGAGGGAAGTTCCCTCACTGATCAATCGTTTTTGAGTTGAACCCATGTGCTTCATGTAGACTCTAATGAGCTATGAATACAGTGAAAAGAGTTCGAATTCTTATATTATAACTGTTGAGACACTGGCTTTTTATGGTAGTTTTTTCATTACTACCATGATCTCCTTTAGAAGCACTAAGAAAGCTTGTTTGCGCATTTCGACTTGAAACTATTCCATAGAGACTAGACTTACGGAAACTATTTTATTGTGAAATTTTCTGACATTTTCACTGTTCCTTTCCTAAAATATTACTATGATAAAAACTTGTCTTTTACATTGCTCAGATTTACTAGCAGAGTTGATGCACTTATTTCAAGAAAAAAAGCGCATAAAAATATTTGAAACTTTAAAAATAAATTATTCTTGCCAAGTTCTATCTTTGTTCATATTTTCAAATCAAATTTCAAAAACAAATTTTTCCTTATATTTCTGAGAAGTAGAGTTTGACGGATTCGATTCATTCTCTAAAATATCACATGGCACTCAACTGAAGATGCTACTGTATTCACTTAAGAAAACATAAAAATGTAGTATCTCAGCAGAAATAAACTCAAGACACAATCTCATTTCAAAGTATTCATAACTCATTTTAATTACTATAAGACTTACAGATTTATTTCATACAATACAAAGAAATAATCACTTTTTTTGTGCCTCGAAAAATTCTTCTATCGTCTACTGAGAATTTCTAAATCGAGAAAAAGATTCTAATGTATTCAAGAGATATACTAGTCACATAATGAAAATAATATTTAGTTCGTAACATAATCATATTTCAATCAATTGAATTCAAATTGTTGTTTCGAATAAGAACGAATACACAAACAGAAAATTTAATAAGTTTAATTAAAATTTTTCTGCAAAATATGCAAATCGATGTCTGAAACTGTATCTATGCATTAATTATTTTGATCAACTATTTATAAAAATGAAACTCATGCTAATCATTATTCGATTTATTTTATTGATAAACTATTTTTCATAATATTCTATTGTTCATAGTTTTTATTGATCTAAATTGGATATTTACAAATTTTGTTTAAAACATATCTCTTTTCATGATTATCATTACTATAAAAAAAAAAATGAAAACATATAAAAATTTATAAATAATCGAGATTGCACAAAAAAAAAAGAAGAAACAAATATTCATTCTTAAAGCATTGGTAAATTAACGATTGAACATTTAAATACAAAATCAGTTGGAAATAATTTAGCAGCCTGAGGTAACATAAGTCTATATACATCTCGTATTACACCTTCGGAAACACCGGTTGGTTTTTGAATATCTAAAAACAAGAAGAAACAATAAATTTTTCATAATTTTTTCTTTAATCAAAATAATATTTTTCTAACCTTCTTTTGTTATCTTTTCACATGCAGCTAGACAAGCCATATAAATTGCTGCACTCGCCACAGAACTTGGTGCACGACCTTGAATATCACAAATTTCATTTGCACGTTCAACAATATGCATAGCTGTTTTTCGTATAAGTATTTCTTGTTTAAGTTCAAGTTGATTACAAAAACGAGGCTTTTTAGAAGAAGAAAAAAAACCTAATAAAAATAAATGATATACAAAAAATAACATACCACCAAATCTTTGATATCAATGGATTGAATTACAGATGAATCTGGTAAAGACAGTTTGATTTTATTAAAACACCGACCAAGATCTTTTACGGATATCTTTGCAACACCACATATTTCTATTAAGATTATGAAAATAAAAAAAAAAAAATACTATTGTATTCATTATATTAAATAAATAAATCTTACTAACCTTTCATTGTACGTGGTGAACCTTCTTGTCGACAAGCGCTATAAATACATGAAGCAATAATTGCTTCTGGTGAATAGCCACGTAAACATTTTTTTTCATAGCAATGTTTATATATTAGAAATGCTCGATCAATAATTTTCTTTGTTAAATGAATATGTGCAGCCAAAGCTCGAATAGCATCATGACCATTTCGTAATGCTTTATCGGCAGATGATGTCTGTATAATAAGTCAATGTAAAGAATTTCTTTTTCTTTTTTATTTAGAAAAAGAAATATTACTTGACTTGTCATTTGTCTATATTTTTGTTGTCCTAATTCATTACGTGCTCCTGCACTTGTTCCAATTGATATCGTAGTTAGAAAATTATCATAATCATATAGTAGACTTTGAGCACTACCAACACGGCTTCGATCTTTTGAGTTTGATTCATCTCCAAAATCACGCCATTCAGAACTGACATCGATCATTCTAAAAATATGAAAATATTATAATAGAAAAAAGAAAAACTTTATGTCAAAGTTAAGTAAAAGAGACAACTGAAAAGATTATGTTAATATCTCATTGTTCAGATATCGTTAAAATTATTAAACATGACAATAAAGTGAAACAAAATTTCTTCATGTTTCTCTCAATAGATAATATCGCATTAGGTCGACTTTTAAAATTTAACAATCATCAATCGATTCACTTATAATTAAAATATAGAATTCGTTCTTTCTGATAGATATAAAAAAATTTTCGAACTTTTACCCTATCATATCCTGTAGAAACTCTATTCATACTTTATCCTACAGAGTTTTATCTCATTTTCCTTTTATACTACTCCAGTTAGAAGAGTCAAAGTGATAAATAGTCAGATAGTACCACAATAGAGGTGTAATGCTTATCCTTACTCTACGGAGTAGGATTTGGACATCTAGCTGTTCGACTTATGGTTAATATATTGATAGTTCGATCTATTTTCACCTTAATCAGTGTTCATATATTGGTAAACAACACTTGAGATATTCTAAATGTTACAGACAGAACGATCTATCGACTTTCATCGTTTCATAATTTTTTTCTATTCTTATCAAGTTCTATTTTTAGTTTAAAAAGTCGAATTTCGAAGGATAAAAAGAGTATGTAGCTTTTTTTTTTCTCAGTCTCTTCTCAATCTTCATAATCCCTCAATAGTATAAAATCTCTAAAAATTATACCGTTCGCCTACAACAAGGCCACATTGTGAACAGATCATATCGCCTGCTCTATAATCTTCAATAAGTTCAGAGGTTGGATGAAATCGACATGCCAAGACTTGCATATAACTAATGAAATAAAAATAATAATAAGAACAATTATCGTGTTCTTTCTTTTTAAATAACATACCGCGACATTTTATTTGAATAATAAATAGATATTAATCTATAATAAAAAGAAAAGAAATTAAATAAGTATATTTAAATTTTGCTAATTTTTCTTTCTCTCTACGTATATTTTTCTTATAATCATTGAAACAGTTATTTCAGATGTTGTATGAGATAGACAAAAGAAGAAAAAAAAACAAAGAAAATTACATATACAAGTTTAATAACGACAAGTTTTATAAACGCAAAAATAAAAATCAAGCAAATAAAGTTTATATAAATACAACTCATCTGGCTAATCTAAAATTTTATAACAGAATATGTCTATTTTAAGGGAAATATATTTCGTTGATTATTATTATTATAATTATTATTATTTCGATTATGATAATAATTATGACGATTATTATTATGTAATCCTCGTCGATAATTATGTCCTCGATTATTCTGATAAAAATTATTATTTTGTCGTTCATTGTTATTGTTAAATCTTGATGATTGATGATCGAGGTTAGAAAGAATAGGAACTATTGATGATTTTATAGCTGAATTATTAGTAGAATTTATTGTTGTTGTAATTGGTATTGATGGTGATGTATTAAATATAGCCGATGATGGTTGAATAATTGAATTATCTAGAAAATATTAAATCTATTGAATAATTAGTTGCTAAATAGAAGTATACTTACTGTAAGTTGTTGATGTTGTACTAAAAGGAAAAACATTTGCTAATAATTGATTTAAAGCAAAATTTGTAGGAATTGTTAAATTGACATTAACTGGAGTATTTGACACAATATTAGCTGTTGAATTTGTTGATGATACTTAAAAAAAAAAAAAAAAAGTAAGAAATTATTTAAATTTTCTAGTAAAAATTAAAAAATGTTGTCTTACTACTTGTTGTATTTATTTCATTCTGTTGTGGAATATTGAGTAAAGAAGAAAGAAAATTTTGTATGGATGCTAAAGGTGGATTTGTTGATGTTATAGTAGTTGATTGATTATTTTCTGTATTCACTGGTATTGATGAAAGATTATTGGCAGTTACAGATGCTGAATTTTCTTTTGCTTGTGCAAGAATTCGAGCAACTTCAGGTGATATAATATCGGATGATGATGAAACAGATGATATTGGATTAGTTGAAGCTAAAGATATATTTGTTGAAGTTGAATTATTATTATTTAAAGACGATACTTCATTTGACACAGACAATGTATTATTCTAAACATATACATATAAATATATTAAAAATCTTTTTAAAAAAAAAAATGTCAAAATATTTTCACTGAAATCTGTTAGACGAGAAAATTTTTAAAAAATAATCCAAATATTTGTTTTTTTGTTGAAGAAGAAAAAGCTTTCGAAATGATGTTGGATTCGATATAGAATTATTCTGATGTTGTAAAAAAAAAAGTTCTAAGAACAGTACTGTAAGTATATAGAAGATGAAGAATATCATCTGTGAAAGAAGGAAATGGTTTGATATTCTCATATTAAAATTTATTCATTTTGTGTTTGCACAAAAATTTTGTTTAAATTAACGGGCTACGAGAGAATCATGCCGTGCATCAAAGAATCTTTCTAAAAAGAAATATATATCTATATGTTCAAAACAGCGATATGATCTTTAGATCCTTAGTAAAAACTAGAAAATTTAAGCATCGTTTTACTTAAAAATTATTTGTCATGTAGTTATAATGATTGTTCATATCGATAGAGTATTTATAATTAACATTCGAATATCAATATGCTTAGTATTGAATGATGTTTACGATTTTAATCTTTAATATAAATAGATTTCAAAATAATTCTTATGATTAATATATATATAAATCTTTCAAACCATCGAGAATTTTATGATATATGCCATAAACTAAAAATCGATAAGCTTTTTTATTTTTATGATAAAATAAAATCAATATACAAATATTTGAAATATTCTTCGTATTTCTTATAAAGACTAAAAATAATTTTCTTGTTTTTATTATTTCATTTAATATATTTTGACATATTTTATTACTATAATTATTATTTATTTTTATTCTTACATTATCAAGTGGAATTAATTTTGGTTCATTAGTACTATTTCCAAGAAGATCACCGTTTAATTCACCTTGTCTATCAGATAAAAATGAAGATGTTAAAAATGTTTTTAAAACATTTTTTTCACGTTTTTCTTGTTCAAGACGTTTCTGTGATTGAACTATTGTATCCGGCAATAAAATACGTATTAAAGTTGGCCATGAAACTAAATTTTGTTTATCATCATTATCAGATGAATTTATCTTTTCTAAACTTTGTTGTTTACGAAGATCATGTTCCCATAATTTTTCAACTTGTGCTATAGATAGATTTGTTGCACATTGACGTGCAAATGCATGCATATCTGCTAATTCTGAATCATCTATTTCAAAAAATGATGTCTGTACAAGAGCTTGATTTTTTTCATCTGCCCAAATGAGTTTTTTTTTTATTAATTTTTTTAGTCCTGGTTGACTCAGATTACTTTTAATAATTCTATCTAGAAAAAGAATAAATAATAATAGATTTTCAACATTAATGAATAAGATCATACCTTTATCAATATTTTCTATTTTTGGACTAACTACTGATTGATTTTCTGATATAATTGTAGAGTCCTCATCCATAGCTGTCGATGGTGAATTCTAGAAAAATAAATACAATGTGTCAATTATGTATAATTTCAATATAGTATATCTTTAATCTATATATAAGATGGATTGAAAGCAAAAAAAAACGACAGACTGGCTATAATTTAGAAAATAATTTATGATTTATTTCTAGTAAATTTTTCCGTATGACATTTATTGTCATGAAGACTATAAATTCAGCAATCAGAAATAAATTTAATTCGATGTCCTCATATTTTCCTTCTTTCTCGTATGTTGATAATCGAGCTGATATATTCTAATGAGGAAATATATCCAACTGTTGAATGCTATTCGACTTCTTTATTATAGCTACGACTAAAGAAAGCTCAACAAAATTTAGATTCATGATCTATTGATAAAGAATAATGATTATTTTTAATAAAATGATCGTCACTAAATAGTTCTAAAATTTTCAATGAAAACAAACATGTCTCACTTGAGTTATTCCACTTCCAAATAGACTCGATTACTATGTCTTCCTACGATAAACTGTTATTAGTCAAACAATGTTTAATAGTTGAGTATCTTCGTTCAGAGGATCGATGCAATGATTTCAGAAATACTTGCAACAAATAATAATACTAAATTTTAATCGACTCTAAAGGTTTTTTTTTATAAATTTTTTCGTTCTGTTGAATTATTTCTTTTTAAATGTTTTGTTTTGAGTATAAATTCAATTTTTTTTTTCTACATTAGTCTACAAAAATTACATTGCATATATAAATGAAAATTGGATTCAACATAGTACTATTAGATAATTGTCTTAATATCATATTACAAAAATGATCAAATTCAATGATGCATCATATTTTATTAATATGATAACATTTAAACTTTTTTTTTGTTCCTATTTTTAAAAAAAAAATTTTTTATTATTCTTACCTTAATATTATCCATTGTATGTATTCGCATATCAACATCAGCTGAAAAATTTTCTTCAATGTCATTCAATTTCAATCGTTTGTGTTCTTGATATTGACTTAAAGAAAGTTTTCTTTTTCCCTGTGAAAAGTCAAATTTATCATTCGGTTTATTAGTTGGTAAAGAATTTGTTTTTGTATTTGATATTGGTGGTGAAGGACACGTATTGGTTTTTATTTTCATTTCTATTGAAGATAATTGATTAGCATCTGCTGATAGTATACTATTATTTGACCTGAAATATAATAAAATAAATATCGAAACCAAATAAAAAAAAAAACAAAACATATCGACCAACAAAGTCTATGATAAACACAAGTTAAAATATATTATTGATATTAAATCTATCGAATCGTTCTTATTTTATATCTAATAAATAATATCTTGATCATGTTCTATTGATAGAAATTTATTCGATTAGAAAAACAATAATAAGAGAAAAAAATTTTATTTATCTAGTAAAAAATCTATTATTGATTTATTATTATACTGACTAGATTAAAATATATCAATACGATCTAATCTTTGAATCCTCAAAAAATTATCTGTACGATCTAAGAAAAAAAAAATAATGCACAAATATTATTTACGAGAAGTCCTATAAAATACAATGAAAGTAAACATAGACTTTATCGATCGATAATATCAAATATATACGAATATTTGCCTCAAAAAACCTACCTCGTTATTTTAGGTATACGAAATTTTGGTAGATTTCCATTAAAACTATCATCTATTTTATTTGCTGATTTTATTAACAGGTCATCAGAACTTGAATTACGACGCTCTACCGATTTATTTGTTATTGATGAAATTATATTTTCTTGATTTTTACGTTTGTTACTATTTATACTATTAATATAATTATTTTCAGTTGTTATTGATACTGTTTTTAAAGTGGCTGACGCTGTCATTGTCATATTATTTGATATTCTTATGTTTTTTTTTCTAAATAAATTTGAAAAAAAAATCAGATTTGTTTGTTTCAATTTAATTTTTGATTTCTAAATCGATCTTTGCAAAAAAAAATTATAGATGGGTAAAAATCTAAAACGAAATACGAAATATATTAATATAAAATTTAAATTTAAAATAATACATACAAAGGAAAATTTGTTCGTCAATACTAATGTAACAAGTTTGACTTTTGAAAAGAAAATTAATTTCTAAGGTCGATCAAATGTTCGAACAATGATTAGCAATTTTTATAAATATCTACAAGAAAGCAGAAAAAAAAAATCAGATAAACGAAAAAAAAAAAAATTTTCACAAGCTTATTTTGCTTAAGTATTACGAAAAAGTTTTGTTACATATCAATCTTAATTAGATCAATATCTTTTTTTTTTTTAATCTTTTCTTGTTTCGAAGCTGCCATAAGTTTCATTCTATAAAAGCATTGTTCTTTTGAAGTATAAAACATATAAGACCTAATTTTGATATCAAATAAAAACTTATCTATCTATTGTAGACTTCGAAACAATGATTAAATCTCTGCTGTGAAAAATCCTTACTGCCATTAAACCAAATTATGTGCAGAAAAAAGAATCAACATCGATCGATTGACCTACATTCGTCACAAACAGACTAAACTGTTTTCAAATGATTTTGGAACCTTGTCTTCTATTATGCTAGAGAAAAATGGAATTTTTCCCAGGTTACAATGCTTTATTATTTTTTTTCTTTCTCCGTTCATCGTTGTGTTCGAAACAAGAATGTATGAATTATTTATGATTGTAACTACCTTGATTTATGTCTAATGACAGTTCTAAATGATAAGCATATTGACAGTAAACAGACCTGATTTTAAAATTTTCTGTGTATATTAGGAACCCTTGAATTGATATTTGTGACCGAGTTTCAATTCTAAATCTTCAGATTTAGTCAGTAGCAAGAAAAGGTTAACTTAATCGAGAACAATTCAACTACCTAAAACTCTTAAATACATGTATTATTAAAGTCTAAATCGTATAAATTATTTAATATATGCATAGAGCATGAATATTTCTGATCATAATTAATATATGAGAACCATTTGTATAAACATGATATAACTACATTTAATAGTTACATATGCTTTTATTACATATTCATATTGCGTTGGATTGAGAATTCATGATTCAATTAATAAACAATTTCTTTTTCGAATAATTTCATTGATGATAATAATAATTCACAAGTATTACACGTAATAAAATAATAAACAATTTAATTACCTTTTTTTTCAATCATGAATATTATTTCATATAATTATTTTCAATTATAGAACGAGCAGAATGGTAAAAAAGAAATAATGTAATTTCAACGCATGAAGAAATTTTTCTTGTTTTTTTTTTTTTGTTTTTTACTATACATCTAACATAGTCGAAAATATCATTTGATACGTAAAGAAATAGTATATATAGTTTTGATGATAAGAAGTATTGTAAGATAGAGCTTTAAAAAAATCGATTAATAACAAAAACTAAATATCATCAAACAATAACTATTGTTATTATTTCAACTGTCGTTGACAACGAATGATGAGAAAGAATAATAAGAAAATAAAAAGAACAAGTTACACGCATTAAGACTGTTAAACGAACATAGAAGAAAAAAAAAAATCAACCGCCCGGGTTTTTTTATTTTTTTTTTTTTGTCACTAACTGTTCGCTATTTGCCTACAGAACAGAAAGACAACGAAATTGTTTTGGGTTTTTTTTTTCCTTTATATGATTCATGAAAAAAAAATGAGTAATTATGATGCAATAACATGCATTCGTCAGCTTTTCTTTCATCATTACATATTCGAAGTCAATCTAGAATCTTCTGAATGAATAGAAATTTTCCCACAACATATTTGTATAAACACGAACAAGCTTTTTACTTCTGCATCAGATGAAAAAAATTCGCTTAATATAATAATGATGCTATTTGCACAATAAATGAAGAAAATATGCAATAATAATATTATTCCTTTTCCACATATGTAAATAATTTAAAGAAAAATGACACAACAAAATCTTTTCATATACTTAAATGCCATGAAACATTCATTTATAAAGAATTTAAATATAGATAATACTAAATTATTTACAATACATTCAGATAACATTGTTTGTATCTTAATCTCAATAATTGAGATATTAATATAATACCTAAAAATTTGATTTTATCATTCTAAAGTCTTATATACAACAATTAAATTAAAATTTTTTTTAGGAAAAAAAAGTTAAACCTATGAAACTAAATTACAAACGCTTCATTGGATAGCCAAAATATTGAAATTGATTTTCTAATCCACAAAATATTTAAATGTTTTCGAATATTTGACGGTTGCCATATAATTGATATTTCCATAATATGATTTTTTTTTTTCAAAATGTAAATATTGTATTTGTAGATAACACCAATAGTATCTTCTCCTAATCGAATGTTTTACCCCAAAAAAAATACCATCTTTTATTTTAACTATTTCAAAATATAATACTTCCCATGATGCTTGAATTGATGATTCATTTTTTTTTTGTAACACAACGTACAATACAACCGATTTGTAGTTCATCGAGAGGACATTTCAATATTGATTGACCGTCCTAATCATATAAAAAATCTTGCCTCTTGTAGAAAGAGTATACGGTGCATCTAACGGGTGGGACGGTTTAAACGAATATGAGAAACGTAGAAGCATATCACATATATATATATGACATAATAAGAGAAAGAAAGAATGATGAAATTTTTTTTTTTCCATTGAGTCATTCTATTGTGGGCTTTTTTCATTGGTTGAATTAATACTTATCAGTATTTTTTTTCTCCTTGTGATAATAAAAAGTATATTGAATATTTAAAACTTTTGTAACATAATCATGATTGAATGAAATGTAATTTTTAATTTAAAATTCTTATAAAATATAGAACTATGATTATAGAATCTTACTTTTAATCATGTGAAATAGACACGATTTGGAAGGAAGGCAATGACGTAGGAAGTTGTTTGAAAGGTTTTTGCTAAAATGAATTGGATATTCTTTGAGGAGATCGAAAGTTTTTTTTTGGGGGGAATTAATGAGCAGTAAAACGTTAAAAACTTCGACGGAGAAAAATGAAAATTTCTGAAGATTTGCAGAGGTCGCCTCTGCTCCATTCCGAACACTTCTAACTAAAAAAATCCGCGTCTTACATCACTATTTATATGCAAACATTCTTTTATAAAAAAAAAGGATTTATCCAAAATTTCATAATATTATTTCATGTTTCTGATTCATTGAAAAATACTCGTTTGTTTTTTTTCTCTCTTGCAAAAGATAATATAACTCTGACGTAAGAATAAAATTAATATTTCATCATCACATTGAATTATTTCTTATGTATTGCAAAGAAAAGAATTTTTAAATATTTATTAATTCATCTTTTTATTACATTTGTATTTCTCTTTAATAAAAAAAAACAAAAACTTAATGTACCCGTAAAGATTTGTTGTATCTCATATATATATAGAAAATGATAACTTGAGGATTAATCATCCTTCGATTTGACATCTTATTCTACTGCAACTAGTATTATAGATAATCTGTAAGCTTTTTGAAAAGATTTAAAAATCACGATAATTTATTTGTCTTGAGAATTTATTTTCACTATTCAAACAACACATCTCTTTCACTTAATCTAACAAAAATTACTATATATATATATATATTTTCATTTGTTAATAGAATATCTCGTGCTATTCAACATCTGGATCATATTATTAATCTTTTTTTTCTTATAGAAAGTCATGCACAATTAATTCAAATGTCTTTTTTTTGTTTCTCTCATGTAAAAAAAAAAAAAGAAAACAATTTATTTAATATATATAAAAGCTTTCAATTTTATTTAAAAAAGAAAAATCTTCTTACAATAGTTTTCTAATACAAAGATTTGTCAAAAAAAAATTCTTTTATAAAATCTTTTCTCATTATTTTTTTATAATAGAAATGTTAATCATTCTATAATATATACTTAGAACAAAAAAAAAATCTAATATAATAATAATTCTATCTTAAAATAAAAGAAAAATCTCATTCCTTATAAATATCATCTATTTAATTTTAGATTTTATTATAAATGATATGTTATATCATTCTAGGAAATATTTATATAGAAACTATTGTTTTGAAAAGTTATTCATAACAAGACATAGTTTCTCGCCAATGTGCATAAGAATGTTACATGATTATTGTGAGTCATAATACATTATATGATGGTTGTTATTAACCAATCAAATAATTTGAGATATTTTATTTATTTATTTTTTACATTTCTTTCGTTTTATTAAGCTTGTCAAAAGCGAACGTTGTTTTGTATTTGTATTAATAAGAAAGAAAGAAAAAAGAAGAAAGTTGAAATTTTTTCTTTTCTCCCTTGATTATATATATATATGTCAATTTGTTTTACAACAAACATACTTTATTCTTTTTCTATTTGTCTTTATATACTTCTATTTGCTTTTACACTCTAGAGTGGTTTAATTTATCGATCAATTGATGAGAAAAAAAAAAAAAAAGGCCTTATGCCTTCGCCTCCTCCTTCTCTCTTGTTCGTTCGCTCTAGGTAGCGTTAATTGCCGTATGTCATTGATGATGAAACTGATATGTTATCGTTCTATTTTCTTTTATACTACTCTCTCCATCTCCCCATCTTTATCATCATTATTCGTTCTTAATAATAAGTATATAGATATATAAATATATAAATAAGCATGCTAAGGCATGAAATGATTCTTTTTCTCTCGTCAACTACTACTGCTGTGGATGTTATGAATGTGTAAATGCTTTTCAACGACTTCTTTCTTTTTCTTCTCTTCTCCTTTTATTTCTTATTGAGAATTATTTGCATGGTTATATTACACGCTTTACATTCTTCGTCATTTCTATCAACGATCGGTCTTACCTTCATTCTCTTTTTTCTTTTTTTCTGTTTTCTCTCTCTTATTTGTTTCTTTATCTACAGCTTTTCTCTTGTCGTCTGCATCATGTTAACTGATTAGCACTTCTCTTTCCGAGTAAGAATGTATTTTGGCATGTGTCACTCGACGACAACCATGATGATGATGAGCGTGTAGAGTGAGAAGAAACACAACTACTCCCGAATAATGTCAACAATACAACTAAGTCACAATATATATATATATATATGCATGCATACATACATTTAATCGCATTAATATTACACATCACAAATTCTTTCTCACTTATACATTTATTTTGTTGTTATATGAAATTACACCTGTATTGTACCTAAAAAAATATTCGTCGATAAGAAGGACAAACATTCTCAAATGAAAAAATTCTATACAGGTTAATAATAAGAATATTCAGTTTTTTTTTTTTTTTTTTTTTTATTAATAATAGCGACTCGTATTCTTAGACATGAGTATGAACGTTAAGTGTCTGTATGTGTGTGATGTGCATGTGTATATGTTGTAAGTAGAAATGAACGATCGATGCGATGAAAATGACACTTGAGAAGCTCGGCAAGCTCACGAACTGACTGACTTGATTAAATCAAAATAGAGCAACGGACATATGCACACACTCAAATATATGTATATATATATTAGAGATCTACAGTATAAAAGAGCAAAAGAGAAAAAGAATAGATTCAGACATCTATAAATGACGACAATTGCTCGTATTGTGAGTACATATATATATACGTGCATGTGTTCTAAGCAAACAACAATGAAAGAGAAAGAAAAGTAGTTGAGCAGAGTGTTCAATCTGTTTAACATTTTAACTTTTTTCACATATACACGCCATATGATTGTCTCTTTTTTTTTGTTTTGCATGCATGCATGATTCCATTTGCGTGTAATATTAATAGAGCGAAGAATGAAACGAGTATGTAGTCGCATGCTTCCTCTCTCTCACTATATATATATATATATATGTTGGTTTCATTCACTGTCAGAGCTTGTTGAAGATTCGCACCACTACATCGTTTAACTCGTTTTTCTTTTTTTTTTTTCTATTGTCAATCATTATCGTAGCGTCGCATTGCTCTCTCTCCTTCGTTTCCTACTACTACCACCATCATCATCAATCTTGGCTAGTTTCCGTTTCTCTTCTCTTCATCTTCTGCTTCTTTGCTTCATTCATTCATTCATTCATTCATTCATGTCTTTGATGAACAGAATAGTAACAACAGCACGGTAGGAAATAGGAAGAAGGCAGAAACACAGAGCCTCTAGACACTGTTTGCACGTCATCAACAACTCTCATCATTTTCATTTCTTTTTTGTTTCTTTCTCTCTTCACTTTTTCTTTATATATATATATATATATATATATATATAATTTATACACGCACGTTCTCTTCTCAAGTGGACCACACCTTGACATGATCAGTTAGGCGCAATATCGCTATATCATCGATAGATACATATACATTTACACACAAGTCAACTTAGATACACATGACAATTTGCGATGGCTATCGCATCTTCTCGCTTTTCTATCTTGTTTTTCTTTCTTGTCCTTCATCGTCTACGTCTATTTGCATGAAGATTGATGTACATACAAATGCATACACACACACATCTATCTATCTCGGGTGGGGAGTGTTTTGAGCACCAAAAATGGAGTGAAATGAGCACCAAATTAAGTATATGTGAAAAGAGCACCAAATAAAGAGTGAAATGAGCACCAAAAT